AAAAAAACATAGTGCTTTCATAAAAACTGATGGTCGAAAACAAAGAACGACCGGCACGAAACGACTAGAGATGTCCAAAATGTGTTAACTAGCAATAGATGTATTGACAGTCACGCAAATATGAATATTCAGCAACAATGGAAAAGTTAGGAAAAAAGCAAATCCAAAAATAAGGAATAATTGCGGGAGAAGAGTAAATCAACTCCTTACAAGACATTCTCAAAATCCCTACATAGAAAGCCGTTCCATATAAAAAACGTAAGCAAAGTAACTCAACTATGATCACCTCTTGTAGCAAATATTCAAAAAAAAGGAAAACAGAGGTACACCGAAAGTCAACTTGGGATGACGAAGATTATTCGAATAAAACAGTTTTCTTCTACGACAAAACGCAAACATCACATAAACAGGGCGAAACCTTCGTTGCTCAGCAATGTCGTTGGTTTTATTAGGGCACTGTTTACGGAACACAGCATGGAACCTCGCAAAAACAAATAGAGCAACAGGATTGTTTGCATGCGGGGAAGCTACGGGGTGAATGGAAATGCAGCGGTGATTGAATTTCCATAAAGGGAGCACTTGGGCAAGGACAACAATACAACAGGAAATGTTCTGGTCAAACAAACCTTTATCTTAAAAGACTAGGGAAAGGTCACATTGGGGGTATGGCAGGAGTGCGATTAGTCGCGACATGCCCACCGTCAATTATTGATTGGTTCATGCTACGACTTTCAGCGTTGACAGCAACGCTGCCGCTATGTCCTCAGTCTGGACTTTTCCTACATAGTGGAATTGACTTTACTTTGCCCTTATCTGAATACTTTTTGAACGATTTCGCAAAAGAATTTGAACTGAACCAATCAGTGCTATGGGAATGGCCAGCTAACATAGATCGGTAAAGAGTTTGTATTGCTAATACGAGAAAGGCTAGCCATAACTTTGTCAAGCCCGTCATCACCAAAAATCTTTCTCTTAAAATAAGTGATAATAAGAAATTAGTTATATGGCAAAACAATCAAACGGGAATCGTTTTCACGTAGTGGTGGAAGAGAACTGAGGAAGAAAAAAGGAATTATCATCAAAAAACCTAGAGAAAAAATCCCAACTGTTTCCTTGAAGTAGCACACGCTAAAAAAAAACCATCGCTGCACTGCGATAAGATGCGCCGATTGCGCCGATCAATACGCATTAAATGCACAATGGGGTCGTGCGTTTCCATCGCTACCCTCTTGCATTAGGATGTGCTGCTTTTCAAATAGGAGTGAAATAGCAGATAAAAGTTCCATTTAATTTATCAACTTCCGGCTATGCAATATCAACACCATCGAAAACCTAGGATAATTGCCAATGAACCTTTCTTTCTTATCTCAAAAATATTCTTGATTGCGACCAATCTTTCATCGGAAGTCGTTTTGTTTTAGTGGCGTTCATAAAACGGACAGAAAGGGGTTAACCATGGTCAAGTGCTTGTTTGAGCCAATAAAATCACATTCTTCTTCTGCTGACTTATTGCGAGCAGTATTTACTTATTGTCAAATAGTCTACTAATTTTCTATATTTGCAATCCAACTCCTACCACTAAGTGTAAAGAACCTCTCCGCATAAGTTTCTGCCATAATGCAGTATTTTTTTTGCCCTGATCGTAAGAAAGACTGTCACCCTCATATTGTTGTTTTCTAATCGAAACTGCTGTTATCAAGGCTAGGTGTTTAACTCGTCACTGTTATGGACAACAACCCGGTCTCGTCCAGCAATGCTTCTGATGGTGGTGCCGAGCGTAAAAGGCGATTTGGATCCCGATCAACTGCTCTTCAGGTTTGCCCAGAACATAAGAACTGAAGCAATTGAATTTGCTCGACCTAATGCTGCAATTGTTGTATTATAGACGATTGAAGATGTTGATCTCACTGGGAAAACTTTCCTAATCACTGGAACTACATCAGGAATTGGTATAGAAACGGCAAGGGCGCTGGCTCTGAAAGGTGCTCATGTTGTCATGGCGAATAGGAATATCATGAGATCGGAAGCACTAAAGAATAAGCTACTAGCTGAGAAGGTATGATTTGAAAAACTTCAATCTCAGTAGTTTTTG